GCCCGCTCCCTCACCCGCAGCTCCACCTACACCAAGCTGAGCGACCCGGCCGTCTGCGGGGACCAGCCCCCCGGGGACCAGCCCGGCTCCTCGGCCGAGGACGGGGCCGACAGCGGCTTCGTGGCCAACGACGACGCCGCGAGCCGGACGGACGCGCTGGAGGCCAGCAGCCTGCTGTCGTCGGGGGTGGACTGCGGCCCCGAGGAGGCCTCGCTGCACGGCTCCTTCGGCCTGGGGCCCCGCTTCCCCGCCAGCAGCACCTACGAGAAGCTGCTGTGCGGCACGGAGGCCGGCGTGCAGGCCAGCTGCATGCAGGAGCGCGCCATCCAGACGGACCTCCCGCAGTCCCAGCCCGACCGCGACGCCATCCTGGAGGTGGCGGCCCAGGCCCAGGGCTGCGGGACGGGTCCCGCCTCGGGGGGCGGGTGCCCGGAGCCGGGTCCCCACCCCTCAGGGCCCAGAGACCCCAACTCGGCGGTGGTGGTGGTGACGGTGGGGGATGAGGCCGAGGCCCCCGAGCCCATCACCCGCGGGCCGACGCCGCACCGGCCCGGCGCCAACCCCGGCCCCAGCCTGTCGGTGAGCGTGGCGTGCCCCGTGGAAGACGAGGAGGAGGAGGCGGCGGCGGCCGAGCCCAAGAGCTACTGGAGCCGCCACTACATCGTGGATCTGCTGGCCGTGGTGGTGCCCGCGGTGCCCACCGTGGCCTGGCTGTGCCGCTCGCAGCGGCGCCAGGGCCAGCCCATCTACAACATCAGCTCCCTGCTACGGGGCTGCTGCACCGTGGCCTTGCACTCCATCCGCAGGATCAGCTGCCGCTCGCTGGGCCAGCAGGGCCCCGGCGCCGCCGCCGGCGGCTCCCAGCTCTGAGGCCCGACCGCTGATGTAGGGGTGCCGTCCTCCCTCCCGCACGTTCCCGTGGGGCATCATCTTAGTTAGTTTTGGGTTCGGAAGCGGCGTTTTCTGAATGTTCACGGTGTGGGGGGCTGGCACAGGGGAGAAGGGAAGAGAGACGCCGGGCAGGGAGGCGCGCTGCAGACCGAGTACCGGGGAGCCCCCCGCCCAGCCCAGCCCCTCCGCCCGTCCCGTCCCAGGGCGGCCCCTGCTCAGGAAGTCTCTGGTGTACTGAGCCAGAGAGGCTGGGCCTCGGTTGCCCACTTTAGTCTCCCCATCCTCCACCCCCCACTTCCTGTTCAGTTCCCGGATCACTCCACACCACCCGCCCTCAGCCTGGCGTCTGGACCAATATTACCTCCTCAGGGCAGGCAGCTGCGACCCAAAGTGCAGACTCCTGGCCCAGGACTCCGAGCAGAGCCCGGAGCCCCCGGGCCTGGGCTGGAGCCCCCGCCCCTCAGCCTGCCCCGCACCTGGGGGAAAGGCAGGAGACGGGCGGGGGTGGCAGAGGGCAGTGTGGGTTCTGCATCTGTCTGTCCCAGACCTTCCCTGCGATCCGCTTTCCTCCTGACGCAGATAATCCAGGCTGTGATGGAGTAGGAGTGCTCCCCTCCAGAGGGCCAGCACGAGGGGGGGAGGCGGGCTGGCAGCTCGGGGCCTCCGGCCTGAGCTGAGGCCCTGTAGCCTGGGAGGCCGGGCTGCACTCAGCAGTCCTCAACTGGTGCGGACAGCCAAGGCCGTGACGGCCCTGGAGCTCACCCCAACTTTCCCTGGGGCCTCAGGCCCAACCTCTGCTTTGCACTGTGTTCTCGTGTGTCCGGACCTCCTGAGAGGGGCTGCTTACTGTCTAGGGGGAGGGTTCCTGGAGCTTAGACTCACCTGCCTCAGGGGGGGGGGGGGTGGCTGCAGGATGAATGGCAAGAAGGAACTGAAGCCATTTTGTCGTCCAGGCCAAAGCAGGTGCCTGGGTGTTGCCTGGGGGGAGCGGGGTAGGGGGCGGGGGGAGAACCCCACAGCCCTCCTGCTCCCAGCCCGAGCCCAGCCTGGGAAGGCTCACTGTCCTCCCTCCTTCCCCAGGACCACACCAGGGTCCCCAGAAAAGCTGCTAACACTTTATTACCATTACTAGTGCCCCGGTGCACGGTTTTGTGCACACTGAAAGGAAATTAATTAGAAGGTGGCCAGCGGGGCCGGACTGGGTGCGACAGGCCAGACACGCCCTGGAGCCAACTTCCTCCCGTGGTCCCTCCCCGGCTGTCCGCACCTCGGGCAGTGCCGTGGCTCAAAGGGTGTCTGTGGAGTGAGCGGGGATCCTCTGGCAGGTGGGGTCCCTTGGCCTAGCCTACAGGGATCAGGCTGAAACCAGCTCGCTGACATTCCCAGATTGCAAGAGGGCAGTTCTCGGGTGATGCCCCCTGGAATCAGGCTCCCTCTTCTCTGGTTCTGGGGGGGGGGGCATCACCCGAGTACCCCTGCTGCCAAGTCACCACAGCTCGGCAGCTCCTGCATTGAGCCCCTGCCCCCTGGTGGTCAGTGCGCATCATCGCTGCCGGTCAGATGGTCACTTCGCCTTTTATATATAGAGATTATTTTACAAAGAAAACCCGATCCTTTTTCCCTTCAGGCTTACCCCCTCTGGTTGTCCCACCCACTCTTCAGAGTAAGGCCCCACACCTGGGGAAGGGGGAGGGTTGGGACCCTGTGTCCTACTCGCCCCTCTGGCCTACGGACCACTCTGGTTCTCTGCCAAGGTTGCTTGCCCACCCCTGCTGCTCCAGCAGCCGCTGCCTGACTCACGGGCTCTGCCCTTCCTTCCTGCGCGCCCCTCACGGGGGCAGCCCTGCATGCACTGGGAGTGGGCAGCCGGCCCAGCCATGGGGGCAGCAGCCCCCTCTGCCACGCGCTTTGTGCCTCCAAAGCTCCCCCTCCTCCGTCAGGCCTCAGGCCGGCCTTCCTTTGGGGGGCACCTCCCACGCAGCCGAAGGAACCGGAATGCCTGGGGCCCGGCCAGGGCTGCCCGGGGAGGCTGGGGCCGCGCATGGAGGGAGGACAAGCCCAACCCAAAGCCAAGCCGACCGGCCGGGCCCAGCCTCCTGCGCCGGTGCTCACAGGCCGCAGAGCGTCTCCTGGGAAACAGGCAGAGCTTCGCTGCGGAAACCAGCGTGCGACTGACTGACACCGTAAAGTCTGTTTCTCGCCCCTGGAACTGAGTGGCCCTGCTGAGCCCCTCTGCTCTTGTCCGTGTCTTGCTGTCTGTGGCCTTCCTGTTGTGTCTTATGTTTTGCTGGACGTGGTCAGGGCTGGGGCCGCAGTCCACGCTGTCTGCTACCCGAGAAGCCACTGCTGAAGGGCTGGCCGGGCGCAGACCCGAGGCCTCTGGGTGAGGGGGGAGGGTCCGGCCGCCACCCTCTGTGCCTCCCTTGGCCTGAGACGCGCCTGTCTGGCCCCAGGGGCCCTCTCTCTTGGGACGGAGGGGTCTGATGGGGCCTTCGATGGGCGTTTCTTCTTCATGTTAGTGGAGGAGGCGGCTTACCGGCAGCCCCGAGACAGACCCGGGGCCCCTGATGGTCAGTGGCCCACAGGGCTCCTGTGTGTCTGCGTATGTGTGTGTGTGTGTGCTCAGTGTCCGCATCTATGCAAAAGGTGCAGCGCCACCTGTGCGGCTCCAGGCGGTGGATGGGGGGACCTGTCCCCCCGACTATGCAGGGCGGAATGTGGGGCTGGGGCAAGGCCAGGGGTCAGGGCTGTTGCGTGCTCCTCCTGCAAATGTCTGCTTAGCACCTCCTCCCGCGGGCTGCGACCTTCCCCGCTGCCCTCTGCTTCCGGAGCAGAAGCCCGCGGGCCCCCTTACACAGCCTCTGCCGGAGCTGATGGCCAGGTCCCACGGCACAGCGTCTCCGGAGTCGCTTTCTGGAAACGCTGGCCCCTTGGAGCCCAGCGGGGAAGAGCGGTCTCTTAATTACAGGGTCCAGGCCGGAGCAGCCCTGCTGGGTCCAGGCCGGAGCGGCCCTGCTGCTCGGCTGGTCCAGGCTCAGGCGGGCATCGGAGTCGGGCCGGGACTCTGCACACCGCTGGCTCCGGCGGAGAGCACTGCACATCTCCCAAAGGGATAACTTAGCTTTTCACGCAGCACCTTCCCACTCACCACTCGCACAGCTGGCCGACAGCTGCACGGGTAGCTGACAGCGCCTGGGGGAGGGGTGGGCAAAGGTCTGGGAGGGGCCCTTGCCCAGTGACCTCACAGGGGCACAGGGCACCCCGGTCACAGTGCACACTCACATCCGGCCATCCCCTTGACAGAATCCAGGGGGCCCGGGAAGGGGGGAGGCGGGAGGGACGTTCACTTTTGTCTCCTTTGAACTTTTGTTCAGAGTTGTACCTGCAGCAGACAGCTCTGAATTAAAGCATGAAAACACACACGGCCCTCGGCCCGTTCCTTGATGTCTTTTTCCTGAGGTGGGGGGTGAGGGAGGCCAGGGGAGACGAGCTGGGGGTGGTTCCGCTCTGCCGTGCAGCTGGGGCCCACGCGCCTCCTGGGTCCCCCCCTCTAGCCATCCCTCCCCAGACGGGCGGGCAGCCGTGACGGGTCAGAGCACCAACGGCTCTCAGGCCACGCGTAGGCAAGGCCTTGGTCCGATTGCCTGGGAGAAACCAGCCTGGCATGTGCTGGGGCTGAAATGCTGGACTTCTCGATGACGTCTGAGGAAGGAATTTTACTTAAAACCAAAGCTTTATTCAAAAGAAGTGAGGAGTTATACCCATGTCAGTTTGGGAAAACCCTCACAAGGAATGTGCTCTGTCCTCTCCATGTGGGCTGTCCTCCTGGTGGCGGTGCCGTCTCGAGAGGGACCCCGCTGCACCTCCCGGGGGCACGGGGCCAGCTGCATGGCCAGCGTGAGAGCCACACCGAGAGCCGCTGCCTGCGGTCCCGGCCCGACCCTCATCCAGGAGAGAGTCAGGCTCCAAGGAGGCCTGTGCAGCACATGGAGATGTGCTCTGCGGCCACCCCCCCCCCGCCCCGGAGCGCCCCCCCGTGGGACGTGCCGGCCCCGGGCAGCAGGCCTCCCGTCCTGCGGGAGGTGGCGGGCGGGGGGAGCGGCCTGACCTCAGACGTCGGGGACGGAGTGGTCCATGGTGTGACGGAGCAGTGTCGGGGACAACCTAGACACGGCAACGGCGACAGTGGCCACGGCGGGCAGTGCCTCCCTCCTCCCCGCGGCCTGTGGCTCCCCGTGGCCTCCACCCTTATTGCTAAGATTTCCCGTCACCAGAAGCCCCCACCACGCCGAAGGGAGGGGGCGGGGGAGCAGGCTGGGCACTGCGTGAGCTTTGAGGAAGCGGCATGGGGACGCGGGGAAGGAGGGAAGGGGAAGAAGCGGGGAGGGCCTTACTTTTTGACCATGTGCTCGTAGATGACCGTCGGGATGATGGTCAGGGTGACGACGTTCCCGGCCGTGGCCAGAATCTCCGTGACCGCTTTGTCCTGAGAGGAGGCGAGCGAGCGGTCACCCTGGGGCCAGGGGTACCTGCAGGCAACGCTATGGACGGGGTCCGTGTGGCCTCTGCTAGGGAGCCACTGGCGCCTGGCTTCAGGGGGAGAGTCCCAGGCAGACGCCCGGGTGAGGCCCTGCTGGCACAGGCACGTAGACCTCCCCTGAGGCTCCCCTTGGTGAAATGGGCCCCTCCCCACCCTCTCCTGGAGGGCCAGTCACATGGGCCATGAAGGAACAGGGCCTTACAACCCACAGAGGCCCCGGAATCCACCAGCCACGTCTTCCGTCCCACCTCCCTGGACCCGGCCTCAATCAGGTTCCGGCCCCAAAGCAGGAAGAGGACAGCCACGCAGTGGGGGGGGGGGGGGCACTGGGTGCCCCGCCCCACCAGGCCCGTGGGCCAGCCAGCCAGCCTGGGCTGCCCACAGGCCGCTTCCTCTCGCATCTCACTCAGCGAAGAGGAAGGCCGCAGAAGCCGATGAGATGCTGGGAGCACAGCACAGTGTCCGTGCAGCGGGCCAAGCAGCCCAACAGCGAGGGCGAAGGCCGCAGAAGAGCCGTGGCCTGTCTGAGGCCAGAGGCCTTGGCTCTCCTCCTCTCTGGCCTGGTTTCGGTGCCTGGTCGCCCCAGGATAAAGGGGAGAAGGCGGCTGGAGAGGACTAGCGAGGCCCCAGAGGGAGAGCAGATGAACTCTGAAGAGATCATCTCAGTAGCAGAGCGATCTGTGGCCTCCCACGCTGGTTTGGCAGGATAAGGAAGGCCCTAACGTAGCCGAGAGCCATCCGAGAGGAGAGGATGGGCGGCACCTGCCCATGACTGCTCTCACGGTCAGGGTCTGGAGCAGTAACGCTCTCACAGGCCGAATGCATTGGTATCCGAGAGCCAGCTGCTCGGAACTGGTACCAGTGTACCAGCTTTTCGGGTCTAGGGGGTTCCCTTGGGATTGTCCCCCCTGATCCCTGAGCGGGGAGATGCAGCAGGAAGGGCCTGGACAGACATTAGGAAGCACTTCCTGATCACAGTGAGCTGACTCCCAAACCAGGGAAGGCGGGGGAGACCGCCAGGCACAGGGAAGCAGAAGTGACAGGAATGGCTCAGCGATGGCCCGCGGGAGGGGTGCAGACTGGCCTAAAAGCTGCGGGATGAACGCTCACGGCTGCGGGGGCCTGTGAGCCCGGAGCCCTGGCTGCGGACGGAGGGGGAGGGCCTCATCAAGTCACGCCTGGTTTGGGAGCCACTCTTATCCAGGTTAGGATAAAATTACTTTCACTTGTTCAGGAACCAAAAGCCACGTGATTCGGCATCTGTGGCCCATTCCCTGAAGGCACCCACCGCAGTCCATGCCCACAGCACTGACTCGAGGCCACTCTATTTTTCAAAAATAAGAGTCACTACACACATCTCCTCAAAAAATGAACAGAGGCCGAAACCGGTTTGGCTCAATGGAGAGAGCGTCGGTCTGCGGACTGAAAGGTCCGGGGTTTGATTCTGGTCAAGAACATGTACCTTGGTTGTGGCACATCCCCAATAGAGGGTGTGCAAAAGGCAGCTGATCGATGATTCTCTCTCATCAATGTTTCTAACTCTCTATCCCTCTCTGTAAAAAAATCAATAAAATATATATATCTTTTAAAATGAACAGAGGACCAAAACCGGTTTGGCTCAGCAGTAGAGCGTCTGTCTGCGGACTGAAAGGTCCCAGATTCGATTCTGGTCAAGGGCATGTACCTTGGTTGCGGGCACATCCCTGGTAGGGGGTGTGCAAGAGGCAGCCGGTCGATGTTTCTCTCTCATTGACATTTCTTTTTTTCTTTTTTTTTTTAAATATATTTTATTGATTTTGTACAGAGAAGAAAGGAGATAGAGAGTTAGAAACATCGATGAGAGATGTTAGGGGGTGTGCAAGATGGTAAGGGGTGTGCAAGAGGCAGCTGATCAATGACTCTCTCTCATCGATGTTTCTAACTCTCTATCTCTCTCCCTTCCTCTCTGTACAAAATCAATAAAATATATTTTTAAATATATATATATATATATATATATATATATATATATATATATATAAAATAAAATGAACAGAGGTCAGAAATGGATTTCTGAAGAACTCTTTTCAAAAACATTCCTGTCACGTGATTTAGGGTGCAGCCAGAAGCACCACACAAAGCAGGGAGGTGTACGTGCAGCCCGTAGCCACCTGAGCACCCTAGACCTCTCACATGCCATCACCTCCTTCCTGCCAGACCTGTGACCTCCATGTGTTAGGATCAATAGCTAACATTCACTGAGCACGGACCATGTGCCCAAAGGTCTATGCACTGTCTTACCGGCTCCTCGCAGCAGCCTCAGGGCGGCAGCCCCCCCCCACCCCACCCCGCAGCCTCCCGCCCCTGCAGCTCCAGGCAGAGCCCCCGCTGGCCTACCTTCAGCCCGATGACGTTCTGCCCGTTCACCTCACACACGTAGTGGTTGGTGAGGAGCCCGTTGCGGGCCGCGGAGCTCCCTTTGACCACGGACACCACCTTCCCCTTCTTGATGACGAAGCCCACGTGGCCGGCGCTGTCCCTGTGCAGGGTGACGGTGCGCTGGAAAGGCCTGCGGGAGGGGGACGTGAGCTGGGCTGGGCTCGCGGCCGGAGGCGGAGGCGGAGGCGGACGGAGAAGCCCCGGCCCCCGCACTCACCTGTCCCGCACGACCATGACGATCTTCTCCGCGGAAGCCCTCTTCACCGCCCGGTGGGCTTTGTCCGTGCTCCACCCGGCACAGTCGCGCCCGTCCATCTGCAGGACCTGGTCCCCGAAGCGCAGCCCCACGAGGGACGCAGGGCTGTTGGCCTGCACCAGCTGCACGAAGAGGCCCTGGGAGAGGCAGGGCCCAGTCAGCCTGCCCACCGGAGCCCCGTCTCTCCTCCTGGGAGCTGTCCCCTGCTGGTGCTCTGGGACCCACAGGGTGCGGAGACTACAGCTCCAGCAGGCACAGCGGTTCCCCGTTTCACTGGTGAGGAAACTCCCAGGCCACTCAGCCAGGGAGCAGCTGAGGCAGGATTTAACCTTGGCTGGAGGCTGCACCTGAAAGCCCTGGACCGCAGGCCTCTCCCAATGGCATCAAGGCCCTACGGAGAGCCGCCTGGCAGCCAGGTCCCTGTGAACCGGGGGCCATGGGGAAGGGGGCTCTGAGCAACGGAAGCCTCAGAGGCAGCTGGTGGGTCCTGGGCCTTGGGGGAGGAGCTAAGAGGAAGGGGCTGGGCTTGGGAGTTAGGTGGGCCTTGCTCCCAGCACCCTCTGCGTGTTCCCCACCCCCATCCCCACCCCGCCATGCCCTCCCCAGCTGCTGGGCTGTGCAGCCAAAGCCCCGAACGCACGGGGCTCGTGCGGCTCAGGCTGCTTACGGGTACTGTCCACCACCCCCGCTCCCCCCAGGCCACCAGCCCCACCTTGTCGATGGCCCGCAGCCGCAGCCCCGTCTTGCCACGCTCGTCCTTGCACAGGTGGATCTCACGCACCCCGGGCTTGATCTCCGCACGCCGCACCCCCAGGCTGTTCCCGGACACCGGCGCCACCACCTGGCCCGGCAAGGGGCCGGAGATCACCGTCTGCAGACACCAGGGAAGGAGAGGGTCAGCGGGCCCCAGGGGCCTCGAAAGGATGGGGAACAGAGGATGGAATGGTCCCTGGGGCCTCTTCCTCCAACAGACGACACACTTATCCGCTGGAGCCCAAGGGGACATGACGCCATGAAGCCACTAGGGGGCATCCAACTCCACGGCCTTGAAAAACAGCCAGGAAAATGAGGAAAGAGCAGGCTAGACAGAAAAGAGGCCCTCATTTTCCAAGGCTAATTAATCGATTTCAGGTAAAGATCTCTTTAAAATTCACTTTAAAATAAAAGTAAATAAAATCACAAAGTAGCAATAGTGACCAATGGGAAAAGGTGGTCTCAGTTTGATTTCTCTAAAAATAAAAATGAATGCTTTCTCCCAAAGATCCAGAACAAGTAACATGTCCAGGCTCACCACTTTTATCAAATATAGTACTGAAAGAACTAGTCAGAGCAACAAGGCAAGAAAAGGAAATAGCCAAAACCGGTTTGGCTCAATGGATAGAGCATCGGCCTGCGGACTGAAAGGTCCCGGGTTCGATTCCAGAACAGCATGTACCTTGGTTGCGGGCATATCCCCAGTAGGGGATGTGCAAGAGGCAGCTGATGGATGACTCTCTCTCATCGATGTTTCTAACTCTATCCCTCTCTCTTCCTCTCTGTAAAAAAAAAAAAAAAAAATATATATATATATATATATATATATATATATGAAATAAAAGACATATAGATCGGAAAATAAAAATTAAATGGTCCCTATTTGCAGATGACATTATGGCCTACTAAAAAAATTCTAAAGAATCTATGAGTAAACTCCTTAAACTAATAAATGAGTTCAGCAAGGTCACAAGACACAAGATCACCGAAGGGTGACAGGTCATTCCCGGTCAAGGGCTAGGTGTTGGGTAAAGTTTCCACCCCCAGTCAGGACAAATTTAGGAGGCAACCAGTCCATGTGTCTCTCTCACATCAATGTTTCTCTCACTCCTCCCTCCTTCTACTCTCTCTGAAAAGCAAAGGAAAAAATATCCGCAAGTGAGGATTAACAACAACAAAAAAAAACTTGACTTCAAAAAGCAAACAATCCATTTAGAAAATAAGCAAAAGATATGAGGAAACATTTTACTGAAAAGAGTATAGATAGTAAATAAGACCATGGAAAGATGTTCAACATCACTAGCCATTAGGGAGATGCAAATTAAGACCTTGATAAGATTCCAATAAACACCCATCATTAACACCTAAAACTAAAATTGGCGATAAAACCAAGTGCTGGTGAGGATGCGAAGAAACTGGGGCTGTCATGCGTTGCTAACAGGAAAATGAGTTGGTCAAACCACTCAAGGAGCAGTTTAGCGATTTCTTTAAACATGTAAACATTCATTTATTATCATACAACCTCCTGGGCATTTACCCCAGATACATAAAAACCTATGTTCATACAAAGCCTGTCCACAAACGTCATGACAGCTTCATTTGTAATAGAAACTGGAAACAACTGGAATGCCCCTCAACAGGCTAAGCAAACTGCGGCCATCCACACCAGGGACACGGCGTAGCACTAAAGAGGGGTGAACTACGATGCACGTGAAAGCTGGAAGCATCTCCAGGGCCTAATGCTGAGTGAAAAGGTCACGCACTGTGGGATTCCACTAACGTGACATTCTGAAACAACGTTATAGGGACAGGAGACAGAGGAGTGGTTGCCGGGTGAAGAATGGAGATGGGGGAGGAAGCAAGATTAGAAAGGGCAGCTCGTAGGAGACCTGGGGGGATGAGATACCCGGATTGTGCTGGTGGCTGCAGGAATCTATGCAGGTGGTAGAACAGCACAGAACTCTAGCACACACTGTACAATGAAACGCCTGCTCTGACATCATACTATCACTATGTAAGACGTGGTCACTGGGAAAACTGAGTGAAGGGTACAATCTCCGGCGCCTGTCTCTGTCCTTTGCCACTTCCTGTGGATCTATGATTATTTAAAAATAAAAAGTTAAAAATAAGAACAAAACTTTAAAATATTATGAACTGCATTCATCTGTCATTTTTTTTTTTTATCAAAACTTAGGTTAAATGCATTTATGTCCTAATTATTGGAACAGAGGGATTACATCAATGGATTAAAATTGAACTACATAAACATGAGCTTCTTTACTTCGCATGTACTTCCCAGCATGACTACCAACGGGTCATTTTCAAGAAACACCCCAGGTGCCACTGGCTTTTCTCAGGGCCCCACATGCCCTCATCCCTGCCGGGGTTCTCCTGTGAGACCCTCCCTGTCAGAGCTTTGTATGTGGCTGCAGCATTTCCCATCGTCACTTCCACCACTTTGAGCAATCCTCCAGGCCCAGCAAGAGTGCCTGCTGCACTTTGCCATGGATTTCCCTGGGCTCAGGCCCAGACTGGCAGACAGGACTCTGACAGATGGCCGCAGGGTGCTGGACATAACTGAGAGGGGTCTGCGTGGGGACTGAGTCTGTAAGTGACACATTTTCAAGAGTGAACGTGTCTGTCAGGATTTCCTTTGGCCCCTGAGCCGTGGAGATCGGGAATCAAGCCCTGTGGTTTAATTTGGGGGCTGGGGCTGGGTGGCAAGCTCCTCCCACCTTGCCTCTGCCTGTCCATGCGGCTGCTCTCAAGCTACAGGCAGCCCTTCCTGAGAAGCTTCCAGACGCTGGCTGAGTTTGATGTCCTCCCTTCTCCTTCGGCAGCCTGAAGCCAGGGGTCAGAGAGCAGGCATGGCCCTCCAACCCCAAGCTCCGCAAGACCCCACGAAATCCCACAACACTCACAAGGAGGGCTCGGAATGAAAAGTACCATCAAGAAACGGGGCTGTAAGAACGTTTCAAAGGCAAGACCAGGGAGGAGGGAGAGTTGGGAGATGTGTGCCCACATCGGGCAGGAGACAGATACCTACACTGGTACCGTCTGGAATCTGAGGCAGGCTCTGTTGGACTTCTTGGCTGGAGAGGGAAAGACCCATATAATTTTCCAGTTCTGCCAGGTTTGGGTACAAAACTGATGGGAAAGGAAGAAGGAGGAAGAGAGGTGTTATCGAGGTGAGCTTAGCCACAATTGCCTGGCTCCAACGTGGTGGCTATTTCTAAGAAGCGGCCTGGGAAGGCTGTCAGCTCCCAGGAACGCACGCAGCTTATCCCTGAGGACACAGTGCCTCCCAGGGGCGCGGTGTGAGGGAGAGGAGGCAGGAACACGCGCAGGGGTCCTCCTCCCTCCAGGAGGGCCTCATGCACACCGGGTGCCTCATGCACCACTTTCCGTGGCACCGGCCAGACACCCAACACAGAGCACAGGGCTGGCACTGGGGCCGGGAGGCCCTGCTCTTAAGAAATCCACAGAAGTAGGCGTCTGGCCCTAGGGCTGCTCAGCTCCGGGGACAGTGTGCCCGGGGAGGAGGCGAGAACTGGGCCTAAGTTCACGTTTGCTACCAAAACCTGCATCGAGACTGCCATGAACCACTCTAGGGGCCACCACCACATCGGGCCCTGATCCACCGGGTGGCCCACAGCAGGGAGTGAGGGCCTCACTCGGCCAGTCTTCTCTGCGCCCTCAAAGGGTCCTGGTGACGGTGGAACGTGGCTAGAGCACACAGCACAGGAAGCAGACAAGAGACCAGCCCTCGGAGATGCTGGAAGTGGTCCCTCTCGGTCAGGAGTACCCCCCCCCCCACAGGCTCACTCACCTGGAGACTGGGGGACAGCTCTCTCCTGCACAGGCAGGATGGGCATCTTGGGGGTGTCTCTGGCCTGGGCCTGGGAAGAGGTGAGGGGTGCTGGTCAGCTGTGTCTGGGACCCCCCACCCCAGAACCCTTGGACCTGGGATGAGGCATTACGTGTGCTGGCGGGCCTGAGGGGTGGAGGATGTCCATGGCCCTTTGAGGTCCCGTGTAAACGTGGCCTCTGAGATGTCCATGTTTCTGGGGAGGTTCGTGGGTCATTCTCTACGAGCCACCAAATGACCCATTTTCTCCCTGAGGCAGCCAGAACATTGGGGCTCACGTTCTCAGTCAAAAAGTCCCAAACTCTCAACACCCACTGAGGCCACAGATGGGGTGGAGGGAAGAGGGGCTTGTGGGGGCTGAGAAGGCCAAGAGCCTGCCCTGCAGTGTGGGGTGGACCGAGCCTGGTGGAGGAAAAGCTGAGACAAAGCAGGCAGACAGAGGCCTGGCCGCAGATGCCTGGCCGTCGCCATTCCTGCTGTGACTCCACTGCCTTGGCTCTGGGCACCTGCCCTGCTCAGCAGGCCCTCCGGTGGTGACCTGCCTGCCTGGGGCTCCAACCACCCCCCCAACGCCCAGGCCAAGCCTCCCTTAGCTGCCCTGGGGTGATCCTGAAGGCTCCACCGGGGGGCCCAGGCTAGCAGGGGCCGGCGACGTACCTGAATGGCTTGGTCCACCTTCAGGTCCTCCAGAGACGGGTACAGGGTGGCCATGGCTGCCCCTGGAAGCACCCTGCGGGGCACAGAGGGTGAGGAGGAGTGAGGGCTGAGAGGCGGCACGATGTCCACCTTCTGTCCCCATGAGCCTCTCAGGATGAAAAGGATAGCAGGGCGGCATAACTATCCCCCACTTTGGAAATGGGGGAGCTGGGGGTTGTATCCAAGTCTGTTTGGTTCCCAAGCTCAGGGTGTCCAGTCTTGCAGAATTCCACCCCACCACATTCCGTGGGTTCTGGACTACAGAACCCGGGCTCAGGGAACCACCCGGACACGCTGGCCAGGAAAAGCAGGACGTGGGCCACATCCTTCCCTACCCTGTTTCAAAGATCAGACATGTTTATGAGACCGAAACGCAATCCAGCAGGTGCATAGTGAGTACCTGCTGCATACCGGCCTGTTAGGGGTTTGCAAAGCATTGCCCCACAACTGCACAGAATCTCGTCCAGTGTCAAGTGGGTGGGGACTTCGTATACCACAGAAAGGCAGCAGGCCCTTTAGGATTCCTTCCCCACCCCACCCGCCCCCACACCCCTTTTCACTTCTGGGCATCTGAGTTCCTACTGTATTACCCATTTCTAGCCTTGATCTTGCCCACGGTGAAGTGAGACCAATGGAAATTCTTAAAGACAGGCATGCACACTGTAGCAGAATTTAAAAACTCAATAGAGGATTGCTCCTGAGGGAGGAAGGAAAGGGGACTTGGGGAGCACCATGCATGTTTACCAAGTACCTTCTAAGAGTCCCGGAGGAGAATCAGGAAGGCCTTGGAGCGAGGTATCCAAAGACATTCGAAGGAGTTACGCGTGGGGCTTTGTTTCCTCCCGAGGGGAAACGTGAGGACGGAGCTACTTTCAGATTCTTGAATAAATCGAGTTTTTTCCTGTCTCCGGGCCTTTGCATATGCTAGTCCCTCTCTCTGAACACTCCTCAGCCCTTCCACTTCCGGCCTGGCTAACGGCTCATCATTTTCCCAGCCCAGAGCACTCTTCTCTGGGGAAGCCTGCCTTGATTTGTGCTCTTCCCCACCCCCACCCACATCCTTACTCTCGCTGGTCACTCACACCTCCTGTAGCTGCCTCTTTAAGTGCCCCTCTCCCTGTTCCACTGGGAGTTCCAAAATGGCAGGACTGGGCCTGGTGGCTTGCCGTGGAGCCCTCGCCCCCAGCGCGGACACTAACTCCATGATGCTGCCCGAGGCCCTGCACTGGGCCTGGCTCTCACTTTTCGAGACACCCGCCTTCCGAGGTCCCAGCCCTGTTTGTTCCCCTCTCACGGGCTTAGATGCTTTTTATTTGAATTAGTGCCAACTTTGTAAAATATGGAAATATAAAATCCTTCACTTCTAAGTGTAGGGAAAACCATAAAAACATGTGGCAATGCAAGAGCAGGGGTCGTTCGTACTCAGCCTACCCCCTAGAGGGGGCTGCTCACGCTTTCCTATTTCCCCCAGTGCCCATCCAGCTGGTGTATTAATAGCTCCAGATCCTCGCCCTCGCCCAGCCTTCATCCTTGCCCTTGCCCGGCCTTCGGGGAAGAAATGATCACCTCAAGAGGTCAGGGATTTTCTTAGGGGTGAGTGGGAGAGTGACTCTGGCCTCCTTTAGACCAGCTGGCCGGAGTGGGGGGAGGGTAGTAGGGGGGGCGCCCTCTGCCTGCGGCCTCCCCCCTGTGCACATACTCCGGGAAGTTTTTATCTTAGGACAGTCCTCAGCAGGTGCCATCTGCCAAAAACACCCCGTGCCGGCAGAATCTCGCATGAACAGCGGTAAGAGGCTACCCCTGCCCTGATTTTTTCCCAACCATGAAGCAACAGAGAGGCTGTATTTTTAGCAGCTGCCCTCTGGGAGAGCAGAATCAGAGCGCCACTTCCTGGAAATCACTCCCAGGCCAGGACCACACAACCCTTTCTCCGTGTCAGTGACCCTTCCGCCACTGTCACCTGCTGGGGTCCCGACGCAGCCTGGGGCTCTGGGGGGATCAAGAGGCAGGTGTTCCCCTGCCTTTCCGCAGTGCTTAGAAGTTCATGGTAGAGTGGGGGACGGCTCCCTGCCAGCAAGCATGGCTGTCTCATTCAACCGTCCACCTGGTCACCCACAGAATGTGAGCATCTACTGTGGGCTGGGAACCCTGGTCCTCTTTCAGTCACGCTCGTCCCTCTGCTGGGCCCACCACCCTTCTCTGCCTGGCGCCCTTTCAAGGCTCAGCTCAAATGCTACTTCTCTGGTTTTTGAGGTCATGGGACCCTCTGCCAGTTGGCCGGGTCTTCTTTTGTTCCTAACCTGAGCTACTTAGGATATTATATGATTACTATCTGGGCATTTTCTCACACTGGACCCAACCTCAGAAGGCACCTCTCTCCCCGTTCACCACTCTATGCCTCCCCACCAAATGTGCCCAGCACAGGAATGCTGGCAAAACTTATGTGGCTGAATAAATCAGTGGTTTTCCAAAAACCAGAGTGGAATTCTGTGTGGGCATCTCGAGGGGACGCTACTAGCCTTCATTCAGGAAGCAGGGAGCAGAGATCCGGACCCAAATGCACAGAATAATTCACCCCAATAACCTGTCCTCTGTCCTGCAAACCTCCAGGGAGGCAAAACACCTGCTTATAGCCTGTTTTATACACAGACACAAAACATACATTTCCCCCGGCTTTAACATACAATGGATTATCCAGGAGCGCATATACCAGGTTAATGGAGGGAAGTTACACTTCGTTTTGTTCACCGTTTTTGGAAAATCACTGTGAGCCTTCTCACTGCAGGTTCGTCCCCAGAGCACGCCCATGTGTCTGCATTTATAGCTGCCCCAGCGCTTCCACTCCTGATGAAAACACATTTAGCCTTCCACCTAAGCTGTCAGCTAGAAACTGGTGGCAAAATTCACCGTTGTGTTTTAATAATCCAAACCTAATCATTTTGTTAGGTATGAGCATGATGGGGGCGGAAGGGGGGTGTCGCGCAATCTGGGCTTTCACACAGTGAAGTGCATAACCTTTTATTATAAATGACTCTCTCTGCCCTCGTTTCTCCTTCGTACCAAGGCGCGGAGGGCATCCTGTCCATTTCTTCCCGGAGGAAATGGCCGCTGAGGGCGAACCCGCCTCCCTCGGCCTCGGTCCCCGCGGTCACATGGGAGCCGCCAAGCACAGTCTCCGTGCCCGGACACCAGAGGGCCGGGCGGTGCCCAGGTTTGCTCTCCGCCCCAGGCCCGCTCCCCAGCCTGTCCGGCCGTCCATCCCTCTCACACACTCGGCCTCCGGCCCCCACGCAGCTCGGATCCCCGCCGGAAGCGGCCTCTCCCGGTTGCTATGGGCTACGGCGCCTGCGCAAAGGCCCCACCGGGCCGCTCCGGTGCGCGGCGGTGTCTGGGGCGCATGCGTCTGGCCCACCCCGGCAGGCGCGGGCTGCGGGCGGGCGGCTCCCAGAATGCTTCCCAGTTGCGGGGTTGGAAACGCCTGCTTCTCCGCCGAGTGGGTTGTTGGCGTGGTTGGTTACTAGACTCCACTCGGGCTCCTTCTTTGTTTTTAATGTTTTTGTTGATTTTAGAGGGGGGGGGGAGAGAAACAGCGATGAAGAGAATCACTGATGGGCTGCCTCCTGCACGCCCAGCCCTGGGGATGGAGCCCGTAACCCCGGCAGGTGCCCCAACGGACCAGGACCTCCTTGTTCACAGGTCCTTGCTCAGCCACTGAGCCACGCTGTCAGAGTTGGCCTCTCGTTTTATATATATATATATATATATATATATATATATATATATATATATATATATATATATATTTCAGAGAGGATGGGAGAAACATCAATGATGAGAGAGAATCATTGATCAGCTGCCTCCTGCATATCCCACACTGGGGATCGAGCCCGAGCCCGCAACCCGGCAGGTACCTTTGGCCGGAATCGAACCTGAGACCCTTCAGTCCGCAGGCCGATGCTCTATCCACTGAGCCAAACCTGCCAGAGCGCCTCTCTTAAGGCGCCCGCAGCTGGCGCTAGCACCCTCAAAAAGAGATCAGGGAGAGCAGCAGATTAAGAGACAGGAGGGGTCAGCCAGGCTCCGCGGTTCTCTCTTTCCCAGGCTGGAAAAGAAATCAGCTTTAAATTGATTATGGTGGAATTGAGCTTTAAAGGGGCGTGTGCCCCATTTCCACGGGCCCCTGAAGGCCATTCATTGCCTCGGAAGCAGTGGGGTGCAGTTGAGCTGCTCACCGCTGACGAGGCTCTGTACGGAGGAGGCGGACAGAGTCAACACGCCTGCGTTTCCCGCTGCCTGTTGCTCAAACTGAAAAGGAATCTTAGCCCACACACACCCTTGCTTCTTGCGATTTGGAAGCATCTTTGATCGACTAGTTCCTACCCACTGTGACATCACCATCCCACCCACTCTCTCACCGGTTCCTTGGGGGTGGGGGGAGCCCTGACTCCTGCCAGGCCTGAGCTGCAGGTGCCTCGCCCCACTCCACACTGATTCACCCAGTGTTCCCAGCCGGCTGACCGAGTGATGGAGCTCCTGCTGCCCAGGTTAGGGGACTTGGGCTTGGCCTAGCACACCAGGTCCTACAGCAACACTGGACCCACTGCATTTTACTAGTACAAGGGGTTCAGGCGGTTGGATTTACAGGATAAGGATAAAGGATAAAAGGTGAGGGCAATGAGGAAGGAAGGAGACCCTAAGAAGGCTGAAGTATGGAGGGTGCAGAAGGGTGGAAGTGGGGGGGTACTATTCCAGGGATAGGGAGGCCCAGGCCAGGAATCCAGCTGCCTGCCACGTCTTTGCTACTGCCTGAACTCATTCTCCCCAGCTCTGCCGCCTTCCTCAGCAGCCCCACCAAATCCAACCCAAGGTCTAAGCCAGAAGCCTGGGAGTCATCTTCGGCACCTGCTCTTGAAGTCATCCTGACCCAGCTCTTCTCCTCATGATAAATCTCCAACTTCGTGTCCAGATTCCCATGACCTGACTCCTGGTACAACTCCATCTCACCCTCTTCTACA